CATCCGTTGGGAACTTTTTTTTTTTTTTTTTTTAATGAATGAGAGGTTCTTATGTTGTCCAGGGTGGCCTTGAACGCGTAGCCTTGCCTCCTCAAGCGCCAGGACAACTGGCCTGAGCCACCACAGCTCCCCCGCTTTTTTTTCTTCGTTGAACTTTTAATTTCAGATATTATAGTTTTCCCATCTAGAATTTCCATTTGGTTCTTTTTTGTTTGTTTGTTTTGTTTAGACAGGGTCTTGCTCTGTCACCTAAGCTGGAGTTCAGTGGTGTGATCAGCTTCAACCTCCTGGGCTCAAGTGATCCTCCCACCTCAGCTGCCCAGGTAGCTGGGATTACAGGCACATGCCACCATGTGTCTAATTTTAAAATTTTATGTAGAAATGGGGTCTCACTGTGTTGCGCAGGCTGGTCTTGAACTTCTGGGTGATCCTCCCACCTCAGCCTTCCAAAGTGTTGGGATTATAGGTGTGAGCCACTTGACTATTTGGTTCTTTTTTTTCTTTTTTTTTTTTTTTTTTGAGACAGAGTCTCGCTCTGTCACCAGGCGACAGGCTGGAGTACAGTGGCGCAGTCACGGCTCACTGCAACCTCCGCCTCCCAGGTTCAAGCAATTCTCCTGCCTCAGCCTCCCGAGTAGCTGGGACTACAGATGTGTGCCACCACGCCCAGCTAATTTTTTATATTTTAATAGAGATGGGGTTTCACCATGTTGGCCAGGATGGTCTCGATCTTTTGACCTCGTGATCCGCCCGCCTTGGCCTCCCAAAGTGCCGGGATTACAGACGTGAGCCACTGTGCCCAGCCTATTTGGTTCTTTTTTAGACTTTTTATTCCTTTTCTGCAATAACTCATCTATTTACACATTGTATCCATCTTTTCCCATACATCCTTTAACATATTTGTAATAAATTTTAAATTCCTTCTCTACTGATTCTGATAACTGGGTCATTTATGGGTTTATTTCAGTTGGCTGTTTTTCCTGTTGGTTATGCATTACACTTCCCTGCTTTGCTGTTGCATGTGTTATATTTTTAGAACTGCATTCTGGATATTGTGTATGAAAAGCAATTACGTATAATCATTTTTTAGTGTTTATATACGTATATATGCCCACATACATTCACACACTTTATAGAGTATGCGAGCGCCTTCCTCTGAGTAGCAGTTAGGCTTAGCAGCTGATCATTCAGATTCCACCTAAAGCTGAGTTGTACGTGGGTTGGGCTGCAGCTTTAATTAAATTTTGTGTACTTCAATCCAATCTCCGGCACTGCCACTTTGAGTTTGTTAGTATTTGAGCTAGGTGGAAGTTGGGCTGCAGTGCTGATTATCGTTTATTTTTATTTTTATTATTTATTTATTTTTAAATGGGAGTTTTGCTCTTATTGCCCAGGCTGGAGTGCAATGACATAATCTCGGCTCACTGCAGCCACCACCTCCTGGGTTCAAGCGATTCTCCTCCTCAGCCTCCGGAGTAGCTGGGATTACAGGCATGTGCCACCACATGTGGCTAATTTTGTATTTTTAGTAGAGATGGGGTTTCTCCATGTTGGTCATGCTGGTCTCGAACTCCTGACCTCAGATGATCTGCCAGCCTCAGCCTCCCAAAGTGCTGGGATTACAGGCGTGAGCCACCGTGCCTGACCTTTTATTTTAGAGACAATGTTTCACTATGTTGCCCAGGCTGGTCTCCAACTCCAGTTTTTCACCTGTCAACATAAAAAAATAGAGACAAATCTCTAAGTAAAAAGGTTTTATTTGGAAATAATATACAAGAGGTGGAACTGCAATCCAGGATGTCCATATAGACTAGGGTGGCCCCCAGCATGTCTGAAAACAAAGGAAAATGTTAGGGTTCTCTTGGGGAAAGAGGAGATTTAAGCAAGTTGTTTCAAAAGAAAGCTCACTGGTGCTAGCAGCAAGTTTTCTAGGAGAGCTGGTGAGTTCAGTAGCAGATTGGCGACTGTCAGTAGTCGCTAGGTGGGACTTGGGGTCCTGGAGTTCCTGTTAGGCCCGTGCAATTTCGGACTGGGCCTGAGAAAGTGTCAGTCTGGTGTTCTTGTATAGCTCCTAGCTGCCCGTGTGCTATTAGCAGTACTTGTGTCTCATGGGGTAAGCTGTGATTTGAAAACTGTTCTTATGATAGTTCTTCTTATCTGGCAAATCATGCATGAGAACCCTCCCTTCATAACCTTCCCTGGCTCTCTATTTTTTTATTTTTTATTTTTTAAGATGGAGTCTCTCTCTGTTGCCCAGGCTGGAGTGCAGTGGTGGGATCTCAGCTGACTGCAACCTCTGCCTCCCAGGTTCATGTGATTCTCTTGCCTCAGCCTTATGTGTTGCTGGGACTACAGGCGTGCACCACCATGCCCACCTAATTTTTTTTTTTTTTTAATTTTTTTGAGACAGAGTCTAGCTCAGTTGCCCAGGCTGGAGTGCAGTGATGCGATCTCAGCTCACTGCAGCCTCTGCCTCCTGGGTTCCACTGATTCTCCTGCCTCAGCCTCCCGGGTAGCTGGGATTACAGGCATGCGCCACCACGCCTGGCTAATTTTTATATTTTTAGTAGAGACAGGGTTTCACCATGTTGGCCACGTTGGTCTGCAACTCCTGACCTTAGGTGATCCCACTCACCTTGGCCTCCAAAAATGCTACAATTACAGGCATGAGCCACTGTGCCTGGCCTAATTTTTTTGTATTTTTAGTGGAGACAGGGTTTCACCATGTTGGTCAGGCTGGTCTTAAACTCCTGACCTCAAATGTTCTGCCTGCCTTGGCCTCCCTAAATGCTGGGATTATAGGCGTAAGCCACCTTGCCCGGCCCCCTGGCTCTATTTTGCCAGGGTTTGACGCAAGTGACTCCATTTTGAATCTGACAGTTTTCACATACCACTAATTATGTTAGCTCGAGGTTTTTTAGATGTTTTTATCAAGTTTAAGAAGTTCCCCTCAGAGTTTTTAAATGAATGAGTGTTAAATTTTGTCATGCTTTTCCTGCGTCAATTCATATGATCATGTGATTTCTCCTCTTTAGTCTGTTAATGTGACTGATTAAATTGATTATTATGATTATTATTTTTTGAGATAGTCTCTCTAAAGATCATTGCCCAGGCTAGAGTGCAGTGCTGCTATCTCAGCTCAGTGCAACCTCTGCCTCCCCGGTTCAGGCGTTTCTCTTTCGTCAGCCTCCTGAGTGTCTGGGACTATAGGCGTCCACCACCACACCTGGCTAATTTTTGTATTTGTTGGTAGAGATGGGGTTTCACTATGTTGGCTAGGCTGGTCTCCAACTCCTGACCTCAAGTAATCTGCCTGCCTCAGCCTCCCCACAAAGTGCTGGGATTACAGGCGTGAGCCACCGTGCCCAGCCCATTGATTAATTTTTAAATATTGAACCAGCCTTGCCTACTGGAAGGCAGGTTATGGTATATAATCCTTTTTATACATTGCTTAATTCCATTTGATAGTATTTTGTTAAAGATTTTGCATCTATATCCATAAGGGATATTTGTCTGTGGTTTACTTCTTGTGTACTGTCTTTGGTTTTGATATCAGGCTGACCTAGCTTCGCAAAATGAATTTTCAAATTCTCCCTCCTCGTCTGTTTTCTGGAAGAGATTGTGTAGGATTGGCATTAATCCTTCTTCAAATATTTGGGAAAATTCTCCCGTGGAACCATCTGGGCCTGGAGATTTCTTTTTTGGGAGGTTTTGAATTATGAATTCAATTTCCTTAATAGCTGTAGAGCTATTTGGATTCCCTATTTCATATTGGATGAGTTGCAGTAATTGTGCTTTTTGAGGAATTGGTCCATTTCATCGAAGTTGTCACATTTAGGTGTGCAGAGCCGTCAGTGGCATTTCCTTGTTGTGGCTGCGATGCCTGCTGGCCCTGCGCTGGTGGCCTGTGTTCCAGTCCTCATCTTGGGTAGTTGTTTCTTTTCTTTGTCAGTCTTGCTGACAAATAGGTTGGTCAATTTGATTGCTCTTTCCAGAGAACTTGCCTTTTATTTTGCTGATTTGCTATAATGTTTTTCGGTTTTTGATTTTATTGATTTCCAACTTGCCCCCTTTGACATCACCCCAGAGTGGGAGGGGCACCTTGTTACTGCCAGGCTGGGGAGGAAGTCCAGGCTCCACACGTGCTCTCCACTGATGCAGTGGGGGTGGGAGCCTCGTTACCGCCTGGCAGGGATGAAAGCCTGGCTCTGTCTGTGACCTTCTCTGACAGCACTGAGCAGGGGTGTTGGGCGCCCTGCTGCCACCTCAGGGGAAGTCTAGACTCCCTACACAGCCTTTGCTGGCATCACTGGGGGTGGGCCACGGATGTGTTCTGGGGGATCTGGCTGGAGTAGAGCAGTGATTGTCTAAGTCATCTGTCTGGCTGGGTCACTCTTTGCTTGGTCCTTTGCTAGAGAGGGTGTGCTTTTCTTGAAGCTTTTGTCGTCTGTGCCCATTGGCATTTCTGGGTTGGTGGCTTTTCATCTCCATGTCTGAACTATATGAGACAAAAAGGAAACCTGGGGAATTCACCACCACGTAGTTCCTGTGGTCCTGAAATACACAGCCAGTCTGCCTTCTTCTCTTTCGGTCTTAAATTTGTTTTGTCGATGATGTCTTGAGTTTTCAGTTGTATCAGTAGGAGGAACAGGAGAAAGTACATCTGCTTCATCTTCCCAGGTGATTGTCAGGAAAGGGCTTTGCAAACCCTTCTCATTTCTCGTAAGGGTTAGTCACGGCACATGTAAAGCCGCTAGATCACGCCTGGCACATAGTAGGCTTGGATACATTGATCGTTATTTTCCAATGATTTGAAGATTCTATAATTCTCAATTTGATTATGCTAAGTGTTATCAGTCTCTAATGCTAAATTCTGAAATACAGTATGGAACTTTCCAGGTATGGAACTTGACTTCTCTTCCTCCCACTTTTTTCCTCTCCCTGCGCCATCTTAGGAAAATCATTAATCCTGAGCAAATGTTCATTGCCTTACCTTGCAGAGAGCAGGGAGCACCAATCCGGTTCAAGACCGCCCTCATGAACACACTCATGGATGTCCTTCGCCACAGACCAGGATGGGTGGAAGTGAAGGAGTAAGACATTCCCCAGCCTTGTCCCTCCTTCCCTTTGTCTCACAGGTCCTTGTCTTCCTTGGTTTTTCTCCCAGTTCCCCTGGGTGGCTACTGAATTGTCCTAAAGTGGCTGTGACATTTATTCAACACCCACAATGTGCCAGGCACATTATCGCTATCATCTGTGTCTTATTTAAGCCTTTCAACTAAACCCATAAGATAAGATTATGTTCGGAGTTATTAAACCAATTGCTTAAGGTCACACAGCATGTCAGCATCAGAGCAGGATTCAAACCCAGGCGCATTTGTGTCCTGTGGCTTTCAGCAGAGACTAGGAATGCAGCTACCACAGACCTGTGGCCTGGATTCTCCAGTGACGGGTCCAGATCAAGAACTGCTCATCCCTGGGCACTTGCTGGTTCTGTGACTTTGGCCCGTAAGCCTGTCTTTCTTTTCTTTATGCTGGCCTCTGGAGATACTGATTGAGACAAACCAGCATGTGATGCCAGCACAGAGTAGGTACTATTAGTGAGGGCTAGGGTTTGGATGCATGCAGTGGAAACCCAAAGTAAAAGAGGCTTCGACTTGCTAGAATTTTATCTGTCCCATCGAAGTCCATATGTAGGAGGTTCAGCGATGGTCAGGGGGCCCCACAGAAATGTGGGATCCATTTGCTTCTGTCTTTCCACTCTACTATCCCTTAGGTGAGGCCCTTGTTTTTCATAGTTCAAGGTGGAGCTCCAGCCTCGTAGGCAAGAGGCAAGAAAAGGTATAGGCCAGGTTCAGTGGCTCACACCTATAATTCCAGCACTTTGGGAAGCCAAGGTGGGAGGATCGCTTAGGTCCTGGAGTTCAAGACCAGCCTGAGCAACGTGGCTTTTGTAAAGACCCTGTCTCTACAAAATATTTTTTAAAAAGTTAGCCAGACATGGTGGTGTGTGCCTGAAGTCCCAGCTACTTGGGAGGCTGAGGTGGGAAAATTGCTTAAGCCTGGGAGGTTAAAGCTGTGAGGCTGCAGTGAGCTATGATCACACCACAGCACTCCAGCCTGGGTGACAGAGTGAGACCCTGTCTAAAAAAAAAAAAAAAAAAAAAAAAGAAAGAAAGAAAGAAAGAAAAAGAAAAAGAAAGAAAGGTCAAGCCCATCCCTTGAAGGACACAACCCAGGAGTCTCTCACGGCTCACTGGCCAGACCTTAACTGTGTGGCCACACCCAGCTACAAGGGAATCTGGCAAATGTAGCTTTTATTCTAGGAAATATAGGCTACGTTTTCCCAAGTAAATGCTGAGAATTCCTTTACTGTAGAGAGGGGGAAAGGGATAGGAGGGGCAGCTGCCCTGCTGCGTGGTGCTCAGGAGATAGTTGCTGCATAACAACAGCTAAGCCTGCGGGACACTGTAGCATTTTACATGCACTATCTTTTAAGCATCCCAACACATCTTCCAGGTAGGTGTTATCATCATCCCCATTTTACTAATGAGAAAACTGGGCACAAAGTAGTGAAAATGCCTTGTTTGAGGTCACTCAGCTTATGAGGGCTTGGGCTGGGATTTGCACCTAGTCCGCTGCCTACAGAGCCACAGCCTCATCTTTCAGTGGCTTCTCAGTGGATGAGAGCATCAGATTAGCAGGTGTTATAAACCTGTGATTCCCACTGCCTGGGCCTGAGTCCAGCAGGAAAGCTTTACTAAACCATCCCACAAAAAATAGGAGTTGGCTGTGGTGCAGGTAACCCAAGACACCAGCATCCTCTTTTTAGGGCTTTGGGGAATATTACAACAGTGACAGTGATGCTGATGGTGTGGTGATGGCAGCCCTTGTGGATTTGCCTTCTTGGTTCTCTTGTGATCATGCTAATAGCAGCATGGGGTTTCCTTCCCTGGATCCAGAGGAACTGATGTCATGAAAGGTGTGTGGGGGAGTTGGGAGGAGAGTTGGAGGAGAGTGAGGTGACTGGCAGGTGGGGGTTGTGTAGGGGAGGGAGAGCAATGTCACCACCAGGTGTGTGACCTCTGTCCACTCCCTGCCGCTCCCCAGCCTCTCCTCAATGGGCAGGGGAAGAGAGTCTGAGGATTTGTCTGGTGCTGACAGGGTGGGAGCCCAGGAAGCAGGATGCTCCATGGCTGATCCCACATTGTCTCAAAGATCCTTAAATCAGGAAGGGCCCAGAGGCCAGGGTCTTTTCCTTCAACACAGCTCTGTGAATCCAAGGCCTCATCCTTTAGGACCTAAGCTGGGTCTGGGATTTCCAGACAGAATCAGGTCTCAGTTCAGACTGCCAGCCGGTCAGGTCAGTTTAGAACGGATGTGGCTAGAGCTGTCCCTTCCCTTGCTTCCGCCTGAGAAAGATACATGACACCTTGGAACGGCAGCAGCCGTCCTCTGACCCCCGAGGTGATGAGCCTGAGGACAAGTTAAGGATGGCAGAATGGATGCTTCCCTGGCAGGGGAAACGCCACGATTGGAAGGAGGTTTTCTCAGGGCAAGGCTCATGTATTCCACTCCAGATGTGCTCAGCCCTGCGATTATCTCCAATGTGGGAAACTTGATTGCGTCATTTATGATGATTGGAGACTGGGAAGAACCAGGATCTCCACTAGAAAGAACCTGGATCTCCACTGACCTTGTTAAGCAGCTTGGTGTCTTCCTAGGTGAATTAAGAGCAACTTGATTGTGACAGTCATGAAAATGGTGTGCACAGGAATGAACTTGTGGTCTCAGAACAGAATATAAAATCCACCCTGTGACCTCCACAGCCCTGCTTGATTGGGTCCTGCCCAACTTTTCAGTGTCATCTCTGACTTCTTTCCTTCTGCCCTGGCTTTTCTTCGTGTTCTTGAACATGCTCTTCCCAACCTCAGGGACCCAGGCCTGCTACAACCTTCTCCCCATTGCTTTTGACCAGGCTGCTCCTTCTCACCCTTCAGATCTCAGCTGAAAGGTCCCTTCCACAGGGTGACTCCACCCAGCGTAGGTCCCTCAGCTACCCTGCCTCACGGCCTCTGCTGGACCACGTGGCGGTTCACTTCACAGTTCTTCATTACAGAGTTGCTTGTTTCCTTGTTCATTGTTAATCTTCCCCAGAGGGTTGTGTGCACCACCTGGCAAGGTGTGCTGTCTCCTCCTGTATCATTGGCATCCAACATCGTCTCTGACACAGAGATAACCTCAACACATACATGTTGGAAAAACAAATGAATGAATGAATGGTAACATGTTGTTTACTCATTCACCCATTCAATATACAGGCCTTCTGCTGGGTGCTGGAGGAGGACTGAGGCATGGGTCATTAACCCAGTTCATACACTCATATTGCTTAAAAGCCAGTGCTATTTTTTAATGAAAACAGAGCCTCAGAAAACAGCTCTTGAACTGACAGACATCCGCAGTCTTCCTGGTCAGGGGAACAGACCTCAGGGTATTGATGGCAGCAAAGGTCCCAGTTGAGAGATCTGGAGATTACCTTTTGCAACCCTATCCTTTATCTCTTTGGACATTTTTTCTCCCAATTTAAAATAGATATTTTATTACTTTCTTTTTATTTTATTATTATTTATTTATTTTGAGACAAGGTCTCTCTCTGTCACCCAGGCTGAAGTGCCGTGGCATGATCTTGGCTGACTACAACCTCTGCCTCCTGGGTTCAAGTGATTCTCATGCCTCAGCCTTCCAAGTAGCTGGGACTACAGGCGCATGCCACTATGCCTGGCTAATTTTTGTATTTGTAGTAGAGATGGGGTTTCACTGCGTTGGCCAAGCTGGTCTCAAACTCCTGACCTCAAGTGATCCTCCCATGTCGGCCTCCCAAAGTGCTGGGATTACAGGTGTGAGCAACCACACCCAACCTTATTACTCTATTTTTAGACCTGATTATTTTAACAAACTGCATGTCGAACTTAATTTTCCCATTCTTTTTAAATTAAGAAATAATATATATATATAATAACCATTTAAATATAGAATTTTGGCTGGGCGCAGTATATGTATGTATATAGTGTATATATATCTACAAATTTATGTATACACACACACACACACACACATACAATTTCATGTCTTTCAGTATATTCACCAAGTTGTGTAATCATCACCACTCTCTTTTTTTGAGATGGAGTTTTACTCTTGTTGTCCAGGCTGGAGTGCAATGGCACGATCTCAGCTCACCGCAACCTTTGCCTCCCATGTTCAAGCGATTCTCCTGCCTCAGCCTCCCAAGTAGCTGGGATTACGGGCATGCACCACCACACCCAGCTAATTTTTGTATTTTTAGTAAAGACGGGGTTTCACCACGTTGGCCAGGCTGGTCTCAAACTCCTTACCTTGTGATCCGCCCACCTCGGCCTTCCAAAGTTCAGGGATCACAGGTGTGAGCCACCATGCCTGGCCAATCATCACCACATTTTTTTCCCACATACCCGCTGTGTCAAAACCATTATCTAATTCCAGAACACTTTCATCATCCCAGGAATAAACCCCATATCCACTAGCAGTCATTCCCATTTCTCCCTCCCTCCAGCCCCTGTCTTGGGCCCTGTCTCTATCTATTCTGGACACATCATATAAGTGGAATTACACAATATGTAACCTTTTGCCTGTCTTCTTTCACTTAACATATTGTTTTTAAGGCTCATCCATGTAGCAGTATGCATCAGTACTTCATTCCTTTTTCGTTTCTTGTTTTGTTTTTATTTTGAAACAGGGTCTCACCTTGTCACCCAGGCTGGAGTGCAGTTGCGCAATCATGACTTACTGCCGCCTCGACTTCCTGGGTTCAAGTGACTCTCCTGCTTCAGCCTCCTGAGTAGCTGGGACTTCGTTCATTTTATGACTATGACAGTAGAATAATATTCCACTTTGTAGGAGTACCACATTTATTTATTTATTCATTAGTTGATAGGCATTTAGGTTATTTCCACCTTTGGGCTGTTATACATAATGCTGCCGTGAACATTCATGTATGAGTTTGAATGGACATGTGTTTTCACTTTTTGTGGGTGTATACCTAGCGGTGGAGTGGCTG